ATTTCAGAGGGAATATGTCCTGCTTCTCACCTATAAGGACTCCTATTTCTATGACTGACAGCAGGTGTCCTCCTGCTCAAGAGAGAGGATATAAAAGATACCAGCTGACCATGCAGAGGATATGAGAAAGTAGGATGAACAATCCACCTTGATTCTAGATGCAGACATGCAGGAATTGAAGGGGAAAACAAACACAGTGCAATTTTTTTTTTTCCAGGGAGGTTGCTGCTCTAGTCTCCAGCAGACACTTTTCCAGGCAGAATGAAGGTCTGGTCATACTACTGACCCTGTGGAGAGAAGTTCTAGTCCATTTCTACAAGATGATAGTGGGGAACCTTCACAGCAGTATTAGAGGGACCCTGCCTCTAGCCAGGTGGAGGAGAGGGATGACTGGGTTTACTGGACTGTGTGGATTCAATGGCCTGGCACAGCAGCCCCACAGGATTAAAGGCTTTGGTAGACACTGGTGCACATTTTACCCTAATGCCATCCAGCTATACAGGGACAGAATCCATTTGTATTTCTGGAGTGACAGCTAACTCCATTGGAGGCTAAGATTAGCCCAACTTGGAATTAGAGGCAAAGGCACCTTAGTGTGCCCGGAGCAGAGACTCCACGCATCCTTGGCATAGACCGCACAAGTAAATGATATTTCAGAGATCCAAGAGGGTATTTGTGGGCTTTTGGTATAACTTCTCCAGAAACAGAGGAAATTAGACATCTCTCTACCTTGCTTGGTCTCTCTCTTGGACTCTCCTGTTGTGGGGCTGATGAAGGCTGAAGAGCAGCAGGTGCCAGCCACCACCACAGTGGTGCATGGGAGGTGATGACGCTCCAACGGAGACTCTGTAACTCCTACCCATGAGGTGGATTGCTGGCTGGAGAGACAAGGAGTGATCAGCAGGACCTGCTTACCCCTTAACAGCCCCATATGGCAAGTGTGAAAGTCTAACGGGGATGGAGACTAAGAGTAGATTTTCATGGCCTGAGTGAATGCCACCTCTGAGTGCTGCCACACCCAACATTCTGGAGCTTCAATATGAACACGAGTCAAAGGCAGCCAAGTGGTACCACCACTGACATTGCTGACGTGTTTTTCTCAGTCCCTCTGGCAGCAGAGAGCAGGCCACAGTTTGTTTTCACTTGGAGGGATGTCCAGTAGACGTGGAACTGACTGTGCCAGGGATGGAAACATAGCCCCATGGTCTGATCCAGACTGCGCTGGAACAGGGTAAAGCAGCAGACCTGGAATATATTGATGATATCTGTGTTTGGAGGAATACTGCAGGAGAGGTTTTTGAGAAAGGAAAGAAAATCCAAATCCTTCTAAAGTCCATTTTTTCCATAAAACAGGGTAAGCTAAAGGGACCTGCATAGGACATGCAATTTTTAGGAATAAAATGGCAAGATGGATGTCACCAGATCCTAGCGAACATTATTAATAGGATAACAGTGATGTGCTCACCAACTACGTAGAAATAAACACCAGCTCTTAGGCACTGTGGGATTCTGGAGAATGAACATTTCAATTTAATCTGATTGTAAGCTCTCTCTAGCATGGGACACAGAAGAAGAATGATTTTGAATGGGCCCCTGGGTAGCAACAAGCCTTTGAATAAATCAGTCAGGAGATAATTCATGGTATATCCCTCAGGCCAGTCTGAACAGGGCAAGATGTAAAAAATGTGCCTTATACTGAAGCTGAAGAGAATGGTTCTTCCTGGAGCCTCTGACAGAAAGCACCAGGTGAAGCTCAAGGTTGAATCCTAGGTTTTTGGAATGGGGCATACAGAGGACCTGAGGCCTATTACATTTCAACTAAAAATGAGATACGAGGCAGCTTATGGTGTCCAAGCCACTTTGGAAGTGATTGGTACTGCAGCACAGCTCCTCCTGGTATGCTGGTTGTACAATGGGCTGGATATTCCAAGGGGCGTTCTCCTCAACACATCATGCAACCAGATGCTATATGGAGTAAGTGGGTTGCAATAGTTGCACAATGAGCTTGGATAGGAAAACTCATCATCCAGGAATCTTAGAAGTGATCATGGACTGACCAGAAGGCAAAGATTTGGGAATGTCACCAGAAGGGAAGGTAATATGTGTTGGAGAGGCTCCACTATGTAATACATTACCAGAAAGGAAGGAACAATGTGCCTATTATTTCAGTCCTTGCTGTCCTTGTGGGAAAGCACTGGAGATGGAAAGTGGCTGTTCTGAAAGGAAGGAACAATGTGCCTATTTTATTTCAGTCCTTGCTGTCCTTGTGGGAAAGCACTGGAGATGGAAAGTGGCTGTACGGAGTCACCCACAACAAGTTGCAGAAACTGCTGAAGAAGGTGAATCAAGTTTGCAGAGTTGAAAGCCATCCAGCTGGCCTTATACATTGCTGAATGAGAGAAATGGCCAATGCTTTATACTGATTCACAGGTGGTGGCAAATGCTCTGTGGGGGTGGTTGCAGTAATGGAAGCAGAATAATTGGCTGTGTAGGACTAAACCCATCTGAGCTGCTGCATTGTAGCAAGATATTGCTATTGGGATGGAGATCCTGGTGAAATTGAGTACCCAAGCAATGGGCCACTGGAGAACATCAGAATAACCAGCAGGTGGATCAGGCTTCCAGGACTGAGGAGTCTCAGGTGGACCTGGACTGGCAACTCAAGGGTAAATTATTTCTAGCTTGGTGGGCCCATGACAACTTGGGACACCAAGGAAGAGATGCAACATAGAGATGGGTTTGGGATTGAGAAGTGGACTTGACCAAGGGCAGAGGTTATCCATGAATGTGAAACATGAGCTGCCATAAAGCAGGCCAGGCAGATAAAGCTTTTTTGGTATGGAGGATGATGCCTGAAGTATAAATATAGGGAGGCCTGGCAGATTGACCATATCATTCCCCCCTAAATCTGTGATGGCGAGTGTCATGTGCTTACACTGGTGGAAGCAGCCACTTCATGGCTGGGGACGTGCTCTGTGCCTCATGCCACTGTCTGGAACACCATCCTGTGCCTGGAAAAGCAAGTCTTGTGGCAAAATGGCATCCCAGAAAGATCTGAATCAGACAGTGGAACTGCCTTCCTAAACATTCTTATAGACATTTGGGCCAAAGAACATGGCAATGAGTGGATGTATCATTCCCTAGTGTGCACCAGCCTGGAAAGAATGAATTACGTAATGGACTGTTAAAGACTACACTGAGAGCAATGGGTGGTGGGACATTCAAATGTTGGGATAAACATTTAGCAAAGGCCACCTAGTTAGATACCAGAGAATCTGCCAGTCAGGCTGGCCCTGCCCAAAGTTTGTTGTGGTGTAGAAGGGGATAAATTTCCTGTAGTGCATACTAAAAACATGCTAGGGAAAACAGTTGGGGTTATTCCTGCCCCAGGCAAAGGCAAACCCATCTGCAAAACCAATCTGCTGGATTGCTTTTGCTCAAGGACCCAGGTGCACTTGGTGAGCAATGTTGGAAGATGGGGAAGTCCTGTGTGTACCTCAAGGCAATATGATTTTAGGTGAAAATAGCCAATGAGTTAAATTGTATGATGTTCATCACTATGCAACACTCTATTACCACTTCTCTGTGTAGAAGTGGTAAAAACAGCTGCATGTCTATCACCTCATGGCATCAATCCTAATCACAGCTGTTCTGGGGATCTAAGCCTGACTTCCCTCTGATCATTGCACTCACAAAAATGAACTTTGATAAAACCAAGTGCAGCAGTACCAGGATCAGAACTGGCTCAAATGTGCAGCATGCAATAAACACCTCATACCATCTTTTCTGCTTGAAAGACTCTTACCAAGGATAAAGGCCAAAGTAATGGATTAAATTAATTCAACAAACTTTTTTTTTAATTGTGTGGATGTTTTATGAACATTTAACAGAGAGTTCTATTGACTAAGAAAATGATGTTTGTGTACCTATCAAACAGATAAATAGGGAAGGTGACAGGATGTTGGGGAGTGTGAAATTTGACATAACACAGATGATGTGGAATAAGCAGTGGGTATTGTTCCGATTACAGCTAGGGTAATTTCTTCTCAGTAGCTGTTACAGTGCTATGTTTTGGATTCAGAATGAGGATGGTGTTGATAACACAGCGATATTTTGGTTTTTGCTAAGTTGTGTTTATCCAAAGTCAAGGACTTTTTCCCTCCTTGTCTCATGCTCTGCCAATGAGAAGATTAAAAAAACCCAAACAAACTGGGGGGGAAGCATAGCTGGGACAAATGACCTAAACTGATCAAATGGATATTCCACACCAGAGAACACCATGCCTGGTATTAAACTGTGGAGTTACCCAGAAGGCCTGCGGATATGGGTACAGGAAGGGGAATGTGGCATCTGTCAGTGGCTGGTGAGCAATTGCAACATGCATCACTTGTTTGTTATTTCCCATTATTATTGTATTTCACTGCATTTTCAATTATTAAACTGTTCTTATCTCAACATACAAGTTTTACTTTGAATCTCATCCCCACTCTACCTGTGTGGGGGGAAAAGAGAGGGGAGTTGAACAAGCAGCTACGAGGTGTTTCATCTCCAGCTGGGCATAAAACTACAACACAGGTTTTTGAATATGTTATTTCACATGTTTTTGAGTATGTTATTTTAAACAGAAAACTGAAACATTTCAAGAATGTGCAAAAGGTCAGGAGTAGCAAGTTCAAAACCTGTGCTCCCAGAACCAATCTCTACAGAAGGCAGCTAACAAGGCACTGTTTTCAGCAGTTTCCTTCTAAGGAACTCACCTTTACAAATGTGATGACAGGAGAGAGACTATGCTCCCATCTTTCCTTCCCCAGTAAAATTATTGAGGAGGAATAAGGTAGCAGAACCCCTTCTACCAGCAAATCACAGAAACTCTGCCCTGGGTTGTTACAGAGCAAACCACAGACTGCTATTATGCATTATTTATTCTAAGTACTCAGAGGTCTGATCAGAAGAGATAAATGTAATGAATACTTAAGATTTAGAATTTAAAACGAATTAAGTCTGCATATATAAACTTTTATTTACATAAGGCATCAAAATTGCCATTTTTAACAAAAGGGTCATTTTTCCCTTTAATCAATACTTTGGTAAAAGAAATGTCACATTTAATAAACTAATATTCACTGGTGTACTTGTTCTGAACAAGCAGGTATAATCCAATGTACAAGATGAAAAACCACAAAACATCCAAGCATACTGTTTCATTAATTACTCTGTAGAACAAAGAATTAAGGCTTGTTTGCATCACAATGATGATCAATCATGCATCATTTATTCCCACAAAGAATAAAATCCATTTCCAAGTGAAGCAGGAATAGCAGTAGTCTTGTATAATCCCCATACTGTTTACATGAAAAACAACCAATTTGGCATCTTAGAAATTAGATTGAAAAGTAGGGGGAAAGAGAGGAAAACAGAAAATGGCTTTTGCTTCAGAATCCTTTATAGGCATTTTCAGTTTCCACTTACAGAAACCTTCAGCTTAAAGAGGAAAACCGGGACTTGTCAATGTTTGAACTAAAAACATTTTCAGAAAGACTAGAGTTATGGTTTCATTGATGATGAATATTAAGTATCTAGCAAAAATACATTGTTTGGAATAATGAATTCCACACTGATATCCCCAAGTAAATGGCATATATACATTAGGCTGAGCCTGTTTTAATAGGTCTGATTTATAAAAATGGTAAACCTGTATTATGCTTCTGCCTGATGTAATAGTTCCTGAGTTTTAGATCACTGCTAAGCCACAGCAGACAAAACTCTGAATGATGTAATGAGAAGTTCTGCAAATCACTTTCAGCAATAGCACACATTTTGTTCAGCAACTTTCAATCATCAATAAAAGTCAGTCTTCCAGGTCCTTCATTTTTCATCCACCGCCGGTATCTCTTCCATCGGGGATCCATGGCCATCTTCTTCTTTAACTCCTCCTCTTGTTCTCGCTTATACACCTGGTAAGACAAAGAAAAATTTTCGATAAGGGTGAAGAAACAGCTTAACTGAGCCTCTAGTGGGGTCTGTGTTTATTCTTCAATCATTTGCCTGCTTATTTTTCTTACAAAAGACTGGATTGCAGTGCAGAAGCAGCCCCTGACCAACACAAAGTGTTGGAGGAGCACCTGTAGCCTAAGAGCCTACTACTTACTGCCCAAGATGCTTTGTGCTCTACTGAGAGCAGAACAACCTTCCTGTAAGCTCCAAAACTTATTTTTTGCTAGAGAAGTAGATGCTCAATGAATTCAACAAAACACACACTAAGCAACTGCTCATGTTCTGAAAAGCTAACCTCGTGAGTCCCTTTCAGCACACATACTATTCAATGCAGCTGTTCAACTCCACATTTTAGCTGTTCTCCCTTTTCAAAGTCGTCATCTAACAGAAAACCACTATGGAACTTTGCAAAGTTGGGAATATCTCAAATACCTCTGCATCCAGTATTTACAGTACTACAAGACAAACTATTACATTCTGTCAAGAAATATTCTGTCACTGCAATGGAATCTACAGTTATCAGCAGAGTCAATAATCTTTAAAAAAAAAAGCCACAAAAACGCAACAGTATCTGCATTTTTATTCTGGGAGGCAGTTTATGTAAATGCATCCAGCATAAATCTCAAAACCATCCATGATTTTATCATCTCAGTGTCATGTGACTTAGTCTGACTCAAAGGCCAATTAAATTTAGAGTTCCACTGTGCATGAGCACGATTTTAAAAATATATCATGGATGGCTACATGAATACACAAACTCAATGCTCAGTGATCATAAGGGTTTTAAGAATCACTGAGAAACAGTAAAAATATTGTGAAGCTCTGTGATGTCCCTGTGTATTGAATTCCTGCTCTTTCCCATCCTAAAGCACTGGAAAACTGAACAATACTTAGAGAGACATCCCCAGTGATGAAGGAACAGACAAGCTTTTGGGGAGAAACACTACAGCACTATTTTTCAGCCTAGAAAATACATTACTACGTTTCAAGTAAGGATATGGCAGTGGTACACAAAAGCACAGCTAGCAGAACAGAACAGATTAAAGCATGATTATTCTCTGTTTCCAGTAATACTGGAATGAGCAGGAGTCCAGGTGGCTTCAAAAAATCCTCTTCTACCACCTTCTACAAGTACTGAACTCATGCAGATGGCACAGCAGAGACTGAAAACTTCAATGCATACAAGTGACCAGGTAAAACTCATTAAAGCAATTACCTACAAAGACACCATTTCCTTTTCAGAAAGTCACAAAGTTGCAAAATAGCTTGGATAAATATTACTGCACAGGTGCAGTTGACATGTCTTTGTCAGCAAAAATGAACTGCCAACCACCACAAGAGACAAGTGTGAGCTAAAAAGTCTTCACTTGTGGCAAATACTGCTCTTTCACATTCAGTGACCAAAACATCCTTAGTTAGAAACTGCATGGATGAGAAACCAGGGCAGTTTTTCTCTACTACAGGATATCCATGCAATCTATTTCTATATTAACATCTGCTTTAACTAGCAGCACTGCTTAGTCGTGGGACTTCCAGACTGTTTCTTCAAAAGCAGGCAGGGGTAGATTACTCTACAAACTTGAAGAGGAAAATGGTAAAATATGTGTTAATGTAAGGAAATAATTAGCTGCCAGGTACGTGTATGTGCTCAGTTAGGATGGGTTTGCTAGGAAACATTCTCTTATCTTGGGTGTCCTGCCATCATCCCATCTCTTTTCCCAACATATGCAGAACAGCAGCACCAAATCCTTTTCCCCTTAAGCAGGCTAAGTTCACATTCCCGTGTTTTTCTTTAGACACCTCCCATCCAAATGGCCCACAGATGTACCTCTGTGGAATAACAGAAGGGTTCTGTCAACCTGCCATACCCCAGCATCCCAAATAATTCTGGACTGCAAATTCCATGCTGTGGCTAATGTTCTTTCTCTGCTGTCACAGAATTTTTAAAAATTACATAGTGACTACCTAGTATTGACTATCCATGGCAAGAGTAGAAGTTGTGCCTAATGGTGGCTTTTATGCCATTCCTACTTGAATAGGCATACAGCACTGCAACAGTCTATGACTCACCACAGGCCAAAGAACTATCAAAGGACAGATGGGAAAACCAAACCAAAACAAAAACAAACAACCAATCAAAACAGTCTGAGCCTTCTAACAGCTTAGAAGACTGATGAAATAGGAGTTTCAGACAATCTGGGTAATGCTTATTAAAATTATTACTGTTTGGAGAACAGACAATAGTCTTCAATCTACTGTAACAGCACACTGTTATTATTGCCCTGGGACTGCTGGATAACCAACATTAGTTTTTCCACCAGGGCTACTGATAAATAGCATAGAGAAGAGATATTTTCAGTTTCCCTGAAGCTGCTGGATAGACCTTAAAGACTAAATAGCAAAAAAAGGTAAAGCTATGTAAAAGTAACTGGAACCAGTAGATGAACAGATAATAAGGAAAACACTGTGCTTTTGCATGTAACAAGAAGCAACAGCACCTGCCGGAAGAAAAAGTTCAAGGAAAGGACACCTGTAATACTGAAACTTTTGTCAATACAACCATCACAGACCCTGTCAGACAAGCCTCTAGAAACATGAAAGGACGTCCAGTAGAACTCAAATGCATGCAAATTATCTCTAGGAAAAGTGATGTATAAGCTAGGAAGTATATTGTAATGAATATGTATGATCATGATAGAATAAATACCCTACTGTAAAATTTCATAACACACATTTGATTAGAGAATATATGCTTGGGGTGTGTCCAATGCTGTAATAAAGAATGTCTGCTTTCTAATACTTCAAGTTGTGTTAGAAAGCTTATTTCCTGGCCAATTTCAGTATTGCTACCCACCTCATAGTTTTCTCGTATCCACAGCTGCCGTTCAAGAAAGGTCTCTTTTTGATGATCTTCCAGGCTGTCAAACTGAGACTGAGACATTTTCATGTACCTTCGTATGATATACAACTTCTCTTCCACACCATACTCTTGCCCTTTAATAGTGAAACAATAAATCCACCAACAGTACCAAACTATGTATTTGCACCAGTAAAAAGGAGCAAGAAGGATCTGAAATAGGAGGATATCATATATTTTGGGCTTCTGATAACCACCCTTTATATCTATTTTATTTTTAATAATGTCTTTGATAATTTCTTCCTCCTCTTCACGAATTTCTTCTTTAGACCGCCTGTTCTTGCCTTTTTCTTTAGTCTTGTTGAGTAAACCTTGTTGCCTGGCAATCTCAGTAGCTTGTATACGGTATTTTGGCACAGATGCTAAGTAGTTGATAGCTTCATTGTAACTACTCCACCAGCTGAAGAACTGTAATTTAAAAACAGTACAAGTAAAAACCATGTTTTAATACAGGCACATTCCTATCTGGGGGTTTGCCAGGAAAAGAAAAAAGTAATGCTGTCACACACTTTTAACCACAGTTACATTATAGTAAGGGTAAAAAGTGAAGCTAACAGTACTTCTGTGATATCACAGAAACTATCCCTCCAGGCTCAGTGAAGCACTTGGAAAATGGATGTATATAAGTGAATCTCACAGCAATTTATGATGACAAGGAAGGCCAAGCAGACACTGTTCTGAAGAATTTTGTTCCTGAGTAGATGGCATGCTCCTGCAAGTTAATACCAGGCTGTGCCAGCCAGTCTCAGAAGCCCCTCTTCTTATATTTATAGATATAGGAGCTAGTATACGAATATTTAAGTATAAAATTGTTACCCATTTAAAACAGTTCACTGAACATCGGCTATGTGACAATCTCATTAGTCTGGCACTGTCCACTTTACAAGACTCAACATTCCTGTCTGATCTCTAGCTGCCCTCTGATTTTCAAGGGAGTGGGGGGAAAAAACCCCAGACAACAAACCAGAAATTTAGTGCCTGAATGAACACATAATTGTAGAACATCCTGAATAGGAAGAGACCCACAAGGATCAAGTCCAACTCCTAGCCCTGTACAGCAAAACCCTGAGAGTGCTTCCTTCTGAAGACAGAAGAAGCACATAGACCAGGTGAGAGCTGATGTTATTCCCATCTAGTGTCTTGTAAATGACCTGAGATCAGGCATGGAAAACATGGAAGAAACTAGATAGGAAAAGAGGGAAAAAGTTAGCAGCTCACTTTCATTCTTGGGACATCCAAGCATGTCCCACTGATACAACTTTTTTAACCATGACACACCTCACACCATTCACTAAGACCAAGCACAGACATAAACCCACTACACAACCTTAGCAAAGGCCAAGGAGCAGAAACAACAGAAAGCAAGATGGGAAAACCAGTTTACACAAATGCTTACATTGAATTTAGAAGCATTTTGCAGTTGGGACTCCAGGAAAGTGAGTGTCTGCACTTACAAAGTAAGAAATAAGATGCATTGCCACTACTAAATGTGAAGATAAATTAGGTATTTGGAGGAATATGCCATTAGAATTTATTATTCCAAGTTCTCAAATTCTGATCAACATACTTTTATTCTAACTTCCAATATCCCACTAAACACTGAGCTATCTGCACCACAGCATAAGCTGTATCTTCCTCTCTTAAACTTGAGTATTTTTAATGTTTTTAACCAGCAATTTAAGAGATTCTAAAGAGAAGTTATGCACTTTTGTCCTCTTGTCATCAACAGCACAAGCGTTTTTACCTAAAACACAGGGGGCTTTCTTGGCCTTGTTTCTACCACCTTCGGAGTAAACTCTGCTGAACTGGATTTGCTTCTCTCCAGATTTCATCAATGTGGTATTCAAAATACACCACAATGCAAGATTCACACAAGTTTAGTAAACTCCTGATATTCAGTCCTATCATCTGAACTGATTCTTGAATTCAGTTTGCTAGTCTATTTTTTAATTTATTTATGTGTCTTGACAAACTAACACACATTATTTGGGGCACTAGTCCTGCCTCAGCTACTCTGAGCCTGCCAGGAAGTAAATTCTTCAGAAAAGATGCACCTTGTCTCAACAAAATTAAAAGAAACTTAACCTCTACCTTTGTTCAAGGTACCAAGGACAGTCAAAAATCTGCTAAATACCTCCTGACTTCAGCATTTTTATGGACACCACACAGACCTGAACCACAGCATAGAAAACAGGGCTCCTCACTGACACTTCTTATTAAATGGCACATTATGAGAGCTGCCGCTATTTCTCTTCTTGTTCAGAAACTCACAGAGTAGTACAATGTAAACATGAAATTTTACCTGAAACACGGAGATGGCACACACTGTAACTAGGATCACTATTGTGACGTCTACTTTAGGTGCCAGTCTCCTGCGGTAGTAGTGGTAGTAATGCCTGTAATACTCCTCAGGATGATCCAGCATGTAGTCATAATCTTTTCGTGTTTCTTCATCCTGCAGGATGACATGAAAAACTCATTCAGGTTTAAATTCCTGCTTTCACTTGCTCTATTGTACGTGTGTTTTACATCTCATTAAGGACGATGCTTCTGTAAAACTGGCAGCAGCCCAAGGGAGTATGAGACATAGAGGAAATTCGTAGTTTTCTCATATTCTCTATTAATTTCTCACACTTATCTGCCCATGCACATATATGTTCAGTCATAAAATGAATAAGCAGGCACTGTGAAAAGGCATTTAAAACCAGAAAACACACAAGCAACTAAAATCCATAGAGTAACTTGTTTAACTTCAGAATGGGAAGTCCAGCTGGACTGGAGTTAATAAGTATTGCTCAGGAAAAGATTTTCAGATGAAAAACCTATTAGGAAATTGTTTTACAAAACTTAAAGGAATTAGTTTACAGGGCTATGGAATCTGTCCAATGGAAGGCCAATTCAAACCTCATTGTTCTCATGTCTTCCGAGTTTTTAATCATTTTCTTCCATGTAATTGCAGGATGGGAAATATAATTTTGCCAGGCTTAACTGAATTCCTTCCAAACTCGTCCCTCCTTCACCCCCGCAAAAAAAAAAAAAAAGTTCCCTTTTCTAATCCCTTGAAGCCTTAAAACACTTACACGTCTCCTTCTTCCATTCCTGGGTTCCATCTTTGCCAAGTCACACATGCTTTGCCCTGAGAAGCCTTCCCTTACAGATCCCATATGCTACTCGAGTCACTGCTACTTTTAAAGGTATACAGCCAAGATAAAGCCTCGTCGGTTCGTTATAAATGAATAAATAAAATAGATAAATAAATAAATGTGAAAAGAACGTGTTCTAGACACAGGAGGATCTTCAACAGCACTCCATCCTCCTTCCCGCACTCTCGGGCTGGTTACGGAAGGAGGATTTTTCGGGGTGTTTCTCCTCCCCTCCCTGACTGCTTACCGGAGCGGCTCCGGCCGCGGCGGCGGTCCCGCTCTCTCACCTTGAGGGTCTCGTAGGCGGCGGCGATGAGCAGGAACTTCTCGTGCGCCGCCTGCGCCCCGCTGCCCTCGCCGCCCGCGGGCTCCCCGCGGTAGCGGTCGGGGTGGTACTGCCGGGCCAGCTGCCGGTAGGCGCGGGCGATCTCCGCCTTGCTGGCCTGCCGGCTGACGCCCAGCACCTCGTAGCAGACTTGGCGGCCGCAGTAGAGGCGGTCGGTGAGGCCCCGCGCCGGCCGCGGCAGCAGCGCCGCGCACAGGCACAGGCACAGGCACAGCGCCCACCGCCCGCCCGGACCCCCCCGCGCCGCCGCCGCCACGCGGAGCGCGGCCCGCTCGGGGCGCGGCCTGCTCGGGGCGCCCAGCGCCGGGAGCGGCCTTTTGTCCCCGTCTGTCACACGCTGCTGCCGGGCCGTTCTGGCAGGCGGCGTGTGCCCTTGCGTTGCACAGCGGAATCCTGGGATGCATTCGGAAGAGCACTGCCAGCAGGTCGATAGGTGATCCTGCCCCCTGTACTCAGCCCTGGTGAGGCCGTATCTGATCTGCTGTGTTCAGCTCTGAGCTCTACAGCTCAAGAAAAACACGGAGATACTGGAAGGGGTCCAGAGAAGGCCACAAAGGTGATTTGAGGTCTGAAGCATGAGGAGAGACTGCAGGAGCTGGGCCTGGAGCAGAGAAGACTGAGAGGGGATCTCATTAATGCATATATATATATGCAGATGCCAAGAGGATGGTGCCAGACTTTTCAGTGGTTTTCAGCGATAGTATGTGGAGCAAAGGCCATAAGCACAAGAAGTTTCACCTCAACAAGAGGAAGAACGTTACAGTGAGGGTGGCTGAGCTCTGGGACAGACTGCTCAGGGAAGTCACTGAGTCTTCCTGTCTGGAGGTACTCAAAATCCACCTGAACACGTTCCTTTGCCATGCGCTTTAGGTGATCCTTGCCTTGGCAGGGGGCTTAGAGTAGGTGATATCCAGAGGTCCCTTCCAACCCCAGTAATTCTGTGATTCTTCCGGGGAAGAAAGCTTTGAAGTACTTCCTGAGCCTGTGCCTGGTTTAGACTTGCTCCTGGCAGAGCTCAGGGTCTGACACCTGTCATGTAGGGTCGAACGCAATTTAACTGGCTCCATATTGGGAACCGCCTCCATAGCACAGAATCGTGGAGAACACTCCTCCTGCTGCTGCCCAAAGACACAATTGATAGGTGACCTCATCTATGTCTAGAAGTATCCTAAGGGAGGGTGGCAAGGTTCCACCTGAACATGAGGAAGAATTTCTTTACTGTGCAGGTGACTGCACACCGGAGCAGATTGCCCAAAGAGGTTGTGGAATCTCCCCCACCTGAGAGATTCAAGAGCTGTCCAAATGCAATCCTGTGCCATGGGTGGCCGTGCTTGAGCAGGGAGGTTAAACCAGATACCCTTCCAGCAGGGAGGTTAAACCAGATATCCTTCCAGCCTGACCCATTCTGTGATTCTGAGTGATTCTGTATGCACAGCTCCCTGAAATGGTGGCTTTGATGCGAGGTGTGCCACCTGTGATGTCCCATACCCAAAGATTTCTCCTGGAAAGGAGGATTACATCTCTGCTCTGGTGTAACCAGCAGGAACACCGCCTCAGCGTTTGACCTTTCTTAGGAAAGCAGATATGGCCTTGATGCTGCAAATATTCACCACAAAATGCTCAGCTCATCGGAGAGTATGTGCTGTTCTTAAAGCTAGAAATTAGTGTGCCTCCCATGTGGCTGGTCTCCTCCTCTGCCTGTCTCTCTTAAAAAAAAAAATTAATGCCCTCTGTTCCTCCTTTCTCCCTCAGCTTTTATATCTGAGCTGACATCATATGCCACGGGATATGGCTTTGGTCAGTTTGGGTCAGCTGGCCTGGCTGTGTCCCCTCCCAGGATCTTTCCCACCCCCCGCCCCCTGGATGGAGGGAGGAATGTTGGAGAGGCAGCGCTGGTGCTGTACCAGTGCTGCTCAGCAACAGCCAGAACACCGGTGTGTTATCAGCGCCTTTCCAATTATCAGTGCAAAGTGCAGCAAGGTGAGGGCTTCTGTGGGGGAAATGAACTCCAGCTCGGCCAGAAACATTGCACGGATGTAGCAAAGATGGTGCACAGCAGCTTTTGTCACCTTTTTTTGCCTGACTCGAGAAACAAGCTAGTGCTCTGACACCTGTCGCTTGAGCTCACGTCTGCCTTGGGACTGGCCCTGGAGCTTTCGGGAGACGTCAGCAGCTGCCCCCGTGCCGCCTGCAGGAAGCAGTACGGGAGGTGCGGAGCGGGCGCCACGCCGCCTGCTTCCAGAGGAGCCCCAGCGACGCCTCGGCTGGGCCGTGTGGCCAAGATGCTCCTTACAGAGATCACACATGGCATGGCAGAGTTTGGGGGAAAGACGCGGTGTGGTGGTCTCTCTGAGTAACCCCAGAACGGCAGGGCAGGAGTTGTACGGAGCAGCTTTATTCCTTCGGGGAATGGCTCTGGAAGACAGGCGCGGCAGCGCCGGCGGGGGGCGTGGCCGCGCAGCTCGGTGGGCGGGGCCTTTCCCGCCTGTGGGCGGGGCTCTCCGCCCTCCTCCTGCTGGCGCTCCCACGGCCGCGCGGGGGCGCCCTTCGCCGTTCCCGTCCCATCCCTGCGCCGCCGTGCCGAGCGCGGAGCCGGCGCGGCCGCCATGGAGGTCAGCGCGGACTCCGGTCAGTGCTGCCCCCGTAAACCTCCTCCGCGGGGCCCGCCGGGCGGGGCGGCGGCGGCGGGGCCGGGCCGTGTACGCGACGGGGGCGGGCAGTGGGGACGGCAGATCTTTCTAAATATAAACTGGCGGTGACAGAAGAGCGGGAGCTTGCCAGTGTCGAGGGAAGCCGCCGGGAGCAGGAGGAGGAGGGGGTGGAAGAGGTGGAGAGGGAGGAGGAGGAGGAGAAGAAGAGGAAGAAGAGACGCTGCCGCCGGCCCGGTGCCGGTGCCGGAGAGGGGTGGGAGGCGCGGGGCGTCTCTCGCCGCCTCCCCTCCCTCCTCAGCCGGCAACATGGCCGCGGCCGCGCAGGACGAGCTCAGTAAGTGCTCGCGGCGCAGGGACTCGCAGCGGGGGCCCGAGGGCGGCGAGCGGGCGGGCGACCCGGGGTTTCCCCGCAGCGGGTCTCCTCGGCGGTGGGGCTCGGACCCCGGCCCGGCCGGACGGTGACGGCAGCGGGGCCGGACCGGCCGTGGGAGGCCATCTCGGGAAGCGGAAACCGGGAGCAGCGGCACCTCCCGCATCCCCGACCCCTCCGGCTGCGTGACCTTGCGGGGAGGTGGCGGGGGCTCCTGGCCGGGACGGAGCCTGGGGTCGTCGGGACCACCGCCTCCGGGGAGCGGCCTCCGCCCACCGCTCCCGTGCGGGCGCTAGCGGCAGCGCCTCTGCCCGTCGGTGCTCTCGCCCTGCGTTGTGCGGCTGCCGTGTTCGAACCGCGGCAGCGGTGTGAGCGCAACCCGGCTAGCACGTCCAGGGGCGGGTTCGGCCAGCCCCTGGGTGCTGTGCCGGGCGGTGGGTACGAGAGCGCGGCGCGGCCAACCCTGCAGCGCTCGGCACATGACCGGAGGTGCCGCTGCCGCCGAGCATTCGAGACAGCGGAGCTCGGCCCTGCCTTCTGGTCACCTCCGAAACCCTGTTTCAGAGACTCTGGGAAAGCACCCGATCAGCCGGTCTTTGGAGAAGCTTATGGAACTTCATAAAAAGCGGTTTCTTTCCCCTTGCTTTTTCAAGCCCCTGGCTTGAAGATGGTTCTTATCTGTGAAGAGTTAATATCTAGATAGCATATGACTCAGCCAAATGAGAGGGCCTTTGGTTGCCCTGAAATAGTACTTGGCAGTTGTCAGAGAGAAAGGGCAGAAGAAATACTTTGAGCATATTTCAGCACTATTGGCTTTCACTACTAAAGAATTTCTGTGTGCTGTTTTTTCATTTGTTTATTTTTTTTCGTTGTTGCTGTTGGTTTTTTAGTTTGTTTTTTGTTTGTTTGTTTTTGGTTTTTTTTAAATTGTGAACTTCTGTGTAGACAACATCCTAATTCTGCTTTGTGTTAGATGTTACTGGAACTAGGCTGAGTGATATGATTATAGTGGTGGGAATGTCCCTTATGTAGCCAAGGTCCAGTGGTGGAGTAGAGAAGAATCTTGATCCTGCGCTGATCCTAGAACTGGAGGACCCAAATGCCAAGATATTATTTCCATTGACACCTGGGATAAATTGATGTAAGGACAGTGAAAGCTCTCACTGCTGCTGTCATCCAAGAGATTCTGTTGTTGGATTTACGATGCTATTGCGATTCCCCTTGGTGAATCCAGTCAATGTGAGATCTCTTCCTTGTGACTCCTTGGCTTTTATCTGTGTGTAATCTAACTTTCCAGGCTCCAGATCTGATCCTGCAAAAAATAAGTTCTCAGCCATGTGCCTGTTGCTGCACAGCCCTTTCTCTTAAGCTGAGCTAAAAAGACAACTATCCCTAGACTGAGATTCACATTAATAATTATATTATGTCATTCAGGTTATTTGATCACAACATCCTTCAAAAATGAGAGAGTTTTATTGGATTGCTTAGAATTCTTTTCTTTGGGTGGGAGGAGGAATCTCTTCTTGGAAATTTATTTTTGTTTAGTTTGGGGTTTTTGTGGTACCTCTCTGTCATTGAATAGAAAATACTGTAATCTTAAATAAAAAATTAATTAAAGCTAATGGAAAAAAAGTAACTTCATGTAGAGAAAGAGACGGAAACTGAGCCTCCGTGTGGGCTTGCTGTCTTTTCATACATTCAAATAGTTAAAATTCAGCGTATCTGGAAGTAAATAGTGTTTTTTGTAGGATGATGACTAGTCCTGAAATAACAAAAGTAATTACCGTTAGTTTTAAATTGGAAAATCAAGTTTCGTTGCTTTATATTCACATGGCTGTAGGAAGCTTTCATCTATAGGCCCTGTCAAACATAGAAACTCTGTGTAAGTGCTGTGTAAAGGATGCCTCTCATTTTAGAGGACAGGTTGTTTGAAGGCAGCATAAGATATGGCACTTTAAAGATTAATGCAAAGTTAGTAAATTGGCCCTAAAGCCACAAGAGTTCAGATGCAAGAGAGGCAAGTTAATCAAGTTAATCTTGAGTAATAGCAGTCATCCATTCAAATGGAGAACTTGTGCCTGGAATATTGCAAATTGCAGC